TATATATAAATAAAATAAATCATTTTGTACTCCATTTATACTGAGAGAAATTTCTAATTATGAAGACAACAAAATTAAATAATTTCATATTTTAAAGTCCTTCACATGGAAAAGTTTGAAAACCCCTGGGTTTAATTATTAGCATTTAGGATGAGATTATAGGACTACCATCACCACAAGTTAATCCTACGCACAATAAATTAATTTGTTTTTTAATACAAAAATTTAGGTTTTCTAATCACACCACAAAGACAGATTAGAAGGGAAAGTGTCGCCGGGTGCAAGATGTCTGGGTAAAAACCTGAAGTCCCCACACAGTGGAGCCAGATTATTACAAAGCCAATCTAGGAGACACATGTCTCCTTCAATGAGCCTCAGAGAGAACAGGAGCAAAGAGCACAGAGGAGAGATGCACTGAAAGAACACAGATAGCAAATGAAAAAGACAACAGCAGGACATCTAATGAGTTGATGACAGAACTCATATGGAGCTAAGATGAGAAAAAGCACAAAAAAAAAAAAACTATGTGTGCATGTCTCTGCCAGCTCTTGCTCTTGTTTCCTCTCATGCTCTTTTCGGTCGCTCACAGGACGTACCAATACCGGATCCATCTTCTGCTGCTAAGGACTCAGCCAGCTCTTTAGCTTGGGCAAGTCCAGGAATATTTTCATCAGCTTCCTTACCCTTCAAGAGACTATCACACCCTCCATTCTGCTTCTCTGCAGCTGAAGGCTCATGAGTACCATTGGTGTTTGCCGATTTCAGATCTGCTGGGGCTTCCTGGTTTTCAGGAGCAGACTTTTCAGACATAGTCGTTGCCTCTGAGTCATCAGGGGTCAGAGTGGATTCGGAGGATGTTGGAGAGGTTGGCATGCCGTCAGGAACCTTCTCAGATGTTTCAAGGGCCTGAGGCTTGCTTTCAGACTCCGCATCTGCAGTGCTCGTGTCATGCAGGGCTGCAGTCTTGTCTTTGTTTGCTTTCTGCTGCATTAGCTGGAGTGCTGCCATCTTCATGAAGAGGAGATATCTGAGGCACAAGAGGATGAGATGTTTAGACCAGTCGACAAACTAGCCTTCAGGACTTTCAGAGAAGATTCATTTAATTTAAGAGAAGTAATAGTTACTACTAATAATAATTACTATTATTAGTTTTTTATTAGTGTATTTTATTAGTAGTAACTATTACAAAAACAAAACTAAAATATATGTAAATATTTATTTTAAATACATATTTAATTGTTTATTATTTATGCAAATATTATTTTAAATATGTATATTACATATGTTTTACATTAAATTTTTTGTAATAGTTACTAATAAAAAATTACAAATAATATTAACAATAATTATGACAGTAAAATGAATAATTATAATTATTATTACTATTATTATTATTATAAAAAATATTTAAGATATCCATTTTTTAATCAATAACAACCTTATGGAGCACAAAAATCCATGACAAAGACCTTGAGTAGTTTTGTAAACACATTGCCCTCCTAGACATAAAAACAGTTTTTCCCCCATGCCATCTCCAGCTTAAACAGCTAACATATGAATCATTACCTGCGTTCTGTAATTCATTTCCGTAATTCATCATTCTACATCCTTAATTATTGCCTCTTTCTCAAGTATTATGTAAATACATATGCATATCTCTTTATTTATACAGTTCTATATAGAGTAAATAATGCACAAATCTGTACATAAATCTACTGTTCCAGATTCATACACATTATTTATTGTTACGTTTTTACTATTTAAATGTTTTTTTTTTGTTTTGTTTTTTGTTCTTTGTTCTCACGTCAGATATGTATGTATGTATGCATGTATGTATGTACCAGGAGCACCTTAAAAAAAAAAAACAACAACAAATTCCTCGTGTGTTTGCACACACCTGGCGAATAAAGCTAATTCTGATTCTGATTCTGATTCTGATATTCAAAGAACTGCTTATGATTCAAACAAAGACCTATTTGTGATTGACGGCAATGATAACATCCTAAAATGCTGGTTTGTTTCTTTTACAAAGCTATCATATGGCTTCAGAAGACTTTGAATATACAGATTCAGTCATATGAACTACTTTTATGGTGTCTTTTTGGAACCTGAAATCCACTGCTAGTATATAAATCCTTCATTAGACAAGAAGAGTAACTTTACTCTTTAACTTTAGATTTGAATGAGCACGTTTATCAAGTAGCAGGAACACACCTGTGCTCTACAAAGGCCTCAATGAGCTCCTGGCGCAAGCAAGCCAGCCGATGGCGATGCTGGCGGGGGAAACCCAGCTTCTTGCTCTCTGGGGCGAGCTCTTCGCCCTCCACCGGCAGGAAATTGAGGTCAGGTGGGAAGGTGCGCAAAAGGTCCAGGATGTAATGGCGGCCATCGTTGCCAATGATACCCTTACACTCCACAGAGGAGAAAAGCTCTACAGCGGTGTCTTTCTCATTGAGCACAGCGTGGTGCTGCACCTTCAGTGGGCGGCTGGTCTTCTCCAGAAGCTCCAGATACTTGGGGTGGGACACTACGGTCTTCCCGAAGTCAATGGAGCCGTAGATGACGCTCTGCTCCTGTTCCCGCTCCAAGATGCCAGGAATGATGGACTGTGCGGTTACACGGTAACCTCTGTAGTCCACCACCACCGTGCCCAGGGTGTAGAGCCCCTCCACGTCCACGGCACTGTATGCCCTCACCCCATTCAGGTCGTTGGTGGGGGCAGCATGGGCAGCAGCGTCTCCGCCCAGCTCTCTGTAGTGGTCACGTACATCAAAACCCAAGCTGAAGAAAATGTTGTTCCAGATGAACATCTGCATGCGCGTCTCTTCTCCAGGGTTGATCGCCATTACATTGCCATCGATCACCGCCATTGCGCCACGCGTCGCCGCAGCAGCAAAGTCGCTATGAACCTATGAAACAGAAGCGACTTTGTGAGCTTCACACTGTTGATCAAATGAAACCGTAATTGTTCTAAAGCTAGTGTTGGTATGTTCACCTTGAATATGGCTCGTTCTCTCAGCAGGCGCTCAGGGAGGTTCTTACGAGAAAGTTCTCTGGTTGTCTGGAGCTCCTCGTTCCAGTCTCTAGTCTATCACAGAATACAAAGAAACTTTAATAGCACTATTTAAAAAAAAAAAAAGTCCACCGAAAATTGAAGGAAGAATGGCTTTAGGACATACTTGGCCAGGTATATGCTCCTCGTCACCCAGACGGGAGGAGGCCTCGATGAGCTCCTGGCGCAAGCAAGCCAGGCGATGGCGATGCTGGCGGGGGAAAACCAGCTTCTGGCTCTCGGGGGCGAGCTCTTCACCCTCCACCGGCAGGTAGTTGAGGTCAGGTGGGAAGGTGCGCAAAAGGTCCAAGATGTAATGGCGGCTATCGTTGCCAATGATACCCTTACACTCCACAGAGGAGCAAAGCTCTACAGCGGTGTCTTTCTCGTTGAGCACAGCGTGGTGCTGCACCTTCAGCGGGCGGCTGGTCTTCTCCAGAAGCTCTAGATACTTGGGGTGGGACACTACGGTCTTGCCGAAGTCAATGGAGCCGTAGATGACGCTCTGCTCCTGTTCCCGCTCCAAGATGCCAGGAATGATGGACTGTGCGGTTACACGGTAACCTCTGTAGTCCACCACCACCGTGCCCAGGGTGTAGAGCCCCTCCACGTCCACAGCACTGTACGCCCTCACCCCGTTCAGATCATTGGTGGGGGCAGCATGGGCGGCAGCATCCCCGCCGAGCTCCCTGTAGTGGTCACGTACGTCAAAACCCAAGCTGAAGAAGATGTTGTTCCAGATGAACATCTGCATGCGCGTTTCCTCTCCAGGGTTGATCGCCATTACATTGCCATCGATCACCGCCATTGCGCCACGCGTCGCCGCAGCAGCAAAGTCGCTATGAACCTATGAAACAGAAGCGACTTTGTGAGCTTCACACTGTTGATCAAATGAAACCGTAATTGTTCTAAAGCTAGTGTTGGTATGTTCACCTTGAATATGGCTCGTTCTCTCAGCAGGCGCTCAGGGAGGTTCTTACGAGAAAGTTCTCTGGTTGTCTGGAGCTCTTCGTTCCAGTCTCTAGTCTATCACAGAGAACAAAGAAACTTTAATAGTGCTATTTGAAAAAAACTAAACCCACTGCAAACTGAAGAAAGGATGATTTTAGGGCATACTTGGCCAGGTATATGCTCCTCGTAACCCAGACGGGAGGTGTAGGCATCCTCTGCTCTCACACAGTCCATGGCATGATCAGTCTGTGGTGCAGTCCAGCTGTACACTTGGAAGGGAGTGGCTATTCTCTCAAATGGATGTCTTTGAACCCTGATGCAAGATCCACAATCATTATCAAAAAAAAAAAAAAGATAATACGATAACAGAATGAAGACCAGAAAAAGTCTCTAAAACCGTCACACAAAAATGTAGTCAAGTTATTCTCAACTAGGGAGTATTTATTTAAATATTTAAGTATTTAAATTAATAAATTATAATTAATATTTTAAAATAATCTAACAAGCTAAAAACATACAATTAAGATGTAAACTGAACTTTTTTTTTTAGGTACTTATACTATATTGACTGGGTTAAATAGAATTGCATTTCTAAAAAGAGACTAAAATACAATTTTCATTGACTAAAACTAGACTAAATGCTCAGACTTTTCGTCGACTAAAACTTGACTAGACTAAAAAGAGTATGAACGTGACTAAAACTAATAAAAACTAAAATGACAGTTTCACACAAAGACTAGACTAAAACTAAAATTAAAACAGGCCGCCAAAAACAACACTACTTAAAGGCCAACTTACAAAAAAGTAAGTTGGCATACTGCGGCTCCTAGATATCCTTATATTTCTCTCCTGAGTAGGATGTTAAAACTAAGTGCAAATGTGGCCTAGCGGAGATAAAATGTGCCACGATTGCTTAAGCAGGCTAGAGCCGGTTGCTTCAAAAGGAGTTCTTTATCAGTCTAATCACCTCTCAATTTTAGTGGGAGGTGAACTAAATATGTATTAACAATAATAGTGTATTACCTCTTCTTTTGCAGAGCGGTGAAGTTCTTCTTGAAGGCAGCGCTAATCTGGCTCAGTAGTTCCACTAGAGAGTGGCTGAGGAAGCTGGGGTTGGCTGGCTTGGGGTTGAAGGTATAAGTAGTGGACCTGCAATAATTATTTTCATGTTATGACCAATTGCAGAAAAGACTGGTATTACATTTCTGTACTATTTTGAGATTTGCTAAACATTACATTTAAGAGTGTTGTTAAATTATTACTGTTTTTACAATTTAACTAAGTGGCATTAGACTTAACAGCAAAGGTAATCTAAGTGCAAAAATAGGGGAAAATAGAACAAACAATTAAATATACAATACCAAACGGCAAATATTCAATGTTGATTGACCCTGATAAAAATTTTTTTTAAATGCTGTTTAGGCTATCAGTTTACCTGTTATTATGCAAAAATAGCTGACAATGGAATGCCACACTAACCAGTCAGAATGAAGTATTCTAGAGAGCATTATAGAGTGCAATAGTGCTCGTCCACTTTTTCAGCGACCATGGATTCAAACAAATTTTTCCCAAAAGGATTTAAAAAAAAGTTCAAGAGTTATAAACAATGAACCAAACCAAATAGTTACAAGGTGAATCAACATTAGAAACATTGATTTGAAGCAGGAAAGTATTTGAAAATTAGACAAAGGGTAGACAGGGTACTTGCGATTAATTGATGATCAAAAAATTATGCATAAATATAAATCTACTGATTTAAAGGATGTTGCTTTAAATTTATTGCAAAAAAACAGAGCTACAGAGGTCATAGCTAATGTAGTTTTTCCATGAGGAATTCCACTGTTAAACATGATTATTATAATATTGCATTGAAACAATGCAGACTAATGGCTTCAACAAAAGCATAAACCATCCATTAACAACCTAGCTCTTTAAAGCTTTAGAATTTTTCATTAAAAATCAATTCCCTTGTGGACCAAATGAATGGCACCAGAAATGGTGCGCTCTATAACTGACCACAGAAAGCCAGCCTGAGAAATCAGAATCAAGTACTCTAGAGAGCAGTGCAATCACTTACTGATTGAGGTAGAATCCGCGGGTGGAGGCAGTGATGCTGACGTGTCTGTCCTCAACAGTCACGATGTACAGATACATGAGGTCTCCGTGCATCTTCCTGTTGCCAGGCGGTGGGTTCCAGCCACTCATGGTCAAGACCTTCAGGCACTGCATTGGCTGCAGACAGAGGACAAGACGAAAGTAAACAAACATCTCAAAACAAAAGCAAGACATCATTAAGGAGTCAAAATCTGTAATCTGCTCCCACCTTCCAGTCTTTGTTCTGTGGCTGAAGGGGAACTAAAGGATGCTCTTTGCTGCCTGGCAGAATGTGTTCAGGCGGTGTGCAATCAATCTGCTCAAGTTCATTGCCCTTCTTTTTGCGTTTCCCAGTATCTGCGTAGGTAAGAACAAACAGGTCAATGAATACTAGCCGTCAACCTTCTAGAAACAACTTAAGACTCTCAATCTTGCTGTTACAGACCTCCAAGGTCTCCATCTGTGAAGACACTGAGGAACGAGAGGGAGTTGCAGTCCACTCCATTATAAGCGTCTGATGGATCTAGGCTCTTCAGCAGGTCTCTGATGTGACGGACGTGAATGCGAGCTTCACGTATTGTGTAGGGCTCTACAGCAAGAAAACAAAAACATTAAATACTCACTACCTTCAAATGAGACAATCAATTAATCGATTATTTGTTGACCTCAAAACTGCAAACTGCGTCTATTGCAGTGGCATATATTCACCGGCATGACAGGATGTGCAAATGCTACTCAAAAAGATATAAATTTTGAGTTTATATCTCACAATTGTGACTTTTTTCTCAGAATTGCGAGATATAGATCTCTTATCGACAAATAATCGATCGTCGATTATTGGTTGACATCCCTACTTGAGATGGAAGGTGTTGAATTGTACCTTCGACCACTTTAAGAAGGGAGCCTTCCTGCAGGCCTTCAATGGACTTGAGCTCGGCAAAGTTGTCGAGTACATTGCCGTCGAGCTGCAAGGAGAAGCAGGTGCGGTGGCAGGTGTCCTCGCGGTCCATCAGAACTTGGTGGATCTCTTGCACCATCTCTTGTGGTGACACCTGAGTAGGAACCACAGATTTTGTTACAATATTTTGTTACAAACGTCTCTGTGTAATGAGAAGTCAGCGTAGGATAAAGACTCACCTGAAGGTCAAAGGGTTCAGTTCCTGGTGCTTGGATCTTCACAGTGAAGCCAGTGTCTTGAATTACAATCACTTCCTGTTCGTTATCATCCTCTGCGTCGGCACTGCTGTCCTGCTTGGAGACGGCCTCCTCAGCCTGATCATGACCGGCTACTCCATTCATCACTGCGGTGTCACCACGGTGCCCTGTGGGTAGAAATTTTTTTTTTTTTTAATTTTACATTAATTTAAAATGATATATATATATTTTTTTTTACAAATAAAGATTCATAAAACAGTTTCAAACTGGCCTGTGATTAGTGATTTGAATCAGACTCACTTGGTCAGTTAATTACTCACAGCAGTTACTGAGCTCAAGAGTCATTTATGTCTGACTTTTAAAAAAGATTCCTGGTTCTGAAATGTGTAATTTTGTTTAACCCAAAGCACTGATTAATTGGTTTGTACAGTCAAAATTAAACATTCCAAAACAGTGTTGTTAGAGTTAACTAAACCTAAAATAAAAATTTTCCGTAATTTAAAGTGGAAACAAAATATAAATATTAAATGAAAAACTTTAGAAAACTAAAGACAAAAATTGGCAACTGAAATAAGTTACTGAACTACTAAGACTGAAACAAAAATAAATTAAAGCTAAACAGAAATATTAAAAACTACCAAAAAAATTACAAAAACATAAAATAACAAACAAAATTAAATTAAAATGAAAACTTAAAATATAAAAATAAAAGCAAATTTTAGTAATACTATAATAGTATATAAATATTTTTTAAATAACACTGTTTCAATAAAAGTTGTATTAGTTGATCATCATAATAATTTGTAACAGCCCTCTACTCACAATACAGACCTCACTAATCACTTAGCTTGTTGTTTAGCAGGTACTGCTTAGCCTGAAGGAGTTGCTTCAAGGCTAGTGGATTTTTATAACTAGGTCAGCCAACTAGCACAGCGGTCAGCTTCTGAGGGCCTGTGACACTTCACACACTGTACACAATACAGCTCCCACAGCGCAATGCCGAGCTGCCATGGAGATCTCCACGGCAACAGTTTAAGTCCTGGGTCTCGGGGGGCAATCATTCCCGAAAAGCTAGCCGAATGAATGCTGCCGGACTAGTGCTGGTGCAATATCATCTGACTCAATTGTCTGAGGAGGTCCCGTCTGCCTTACTGATTGATTCACTCGCACAGATCTGCTGAGGCTGCATGTTTTGCTACACATTGAATTGAATAAGAAGACAAAGACTTGAAATTCTTGCCAAGGCAGGCATGTTTTCAGATGCCACAGCTGTCTCGGCCGTAACTCTCAGGTAAAATACACTGTTTGCTTTAGACAACTGCAGCATGTCCTTGGCTCTCCTCAATGGTCACGGCTATAGCAACAAGCAGCTGATCTCACACTTCAGACACCGAGGACCACAGGGGAGGCAGATCAAACAGATTTCACAACAGAGGCTTCAAAAAACCCCAATCCCCATTTACAATCACTTAAAAACACGATTTAAGTATTATACACTTATGCCTAAGAGTAAATGACATGTAATGAGTAACCTCTTGTCACTGTGTAAAAGGAATGTGGAGGCTGAGCTTCCCTTCAGTAAGTTACAGCAGCCATCATAAGTTTAAAGTGAAACTGACTGTTTCTTCAGACCTAACGGCACCATATGGTTATTTTATCTTGCTCTAAATTTAATGTTTACACAGATATCCCCCAAATCCAATCCAAATCTAATCACAAGCATTAGGTCAGGTGGTGGAAGCCTATTGGTTAACTATAGGAGCTGTTACTTACTGCAGGGGAATTCTGTAGTCAAGTATACAAGCATTTTGACCAAAAAAAAAAAAAACGTATCTGATACATGGCAAACATGACAAAAAGTTCAAATATTGTCACAGATTAATGTAAAAAGCATCACAATTTGAGGTTATTTACTAGTCATTTTATTTAATCTTATTTTTGATTTTAGATTCAGTGTTACTTCAGTATCATTCAGATTCTATTATAGTTTTTATTAATATTTTGAATGATATATTTTATTTTTATATTTTCTGTTTTCAATATAGATTTAAAATTTTTGTAATTTTGTTGTCTTTTTTTTTTTTTTTATGTTTCATACATTTTTCCTTCATTTTTTTTAGTACATTAAACAAATGAAAGTTAAACTAAATTAAACCAAAAATGTCTTAGTTATGTTTTAGTTAAAGGGGTGGTTGATTGCGATTTCACTTTTTTAACGTTAGTTTGTGTGTAATGTTGCTGTTTGAGCATAAACAATATCTGCAAAGTTACGAAGCTGAAAGTTCAATGCAAACGGAGTCTTTTAAAATTCTGGCAGTTTAATGCCAGAAAAAAACGGCTGGTAGGGACTACAACGAGTTACTTCCCGGGTTTGTGACTTAAACCCAAATAAACCCCGCCCTCGGGAAAAGGCAGCAAAGGGGGCAAGGCCATGCTGCGCTGCTTTAGAGAAGAGGAAGAGAAAACTAGAGGTGCACGTAAAAATCTATTCATTTATGAATCGCGATTCTGTCTTTTAACGATTCTAATGGATTCACAAGTTTCAAAATCAATGTTCTAAAGCAGCGGTTCTCAATCCTGTTCCTCG